GCAGCCGTGCCGGGGCCCGGGGCCTCTGCCTCCCGGCGGCCAGGGCGCGACGTGCCCTGCACGGCTGCTCGTCAGAGAGCCTCTGGGGCCTCAAGCCGTGGGCCCTGGAGACAAGTGTCCTCAGGGCCAGTGCTGGACACTGTCTCCCAGAGGACTGCTCTGGTCAGACCACAGAGCCGGCAGCAGGGCGGCACCCGCTCCCAGAGGCTGGCTCTGGCGTCCCCGGCCGCCCTCCGCGCAGACCGTCCTCCGCTGCAGGGGTGCGGCCGTGAGCAGACCATGCCGGCGCCTCCCGGTCCGCGGGCCATGGGGGCTCCTGCCGTCCAGTGCTGAGGGGTGGTGTGGAGGCTGCCCGGTGCCTGCCGCCCCCGCTTCCTGCTCCCCGGACAGCGCTGCTCCGAGGGGGGCCGGGCGAGGCGGGCGCCATCCGGTCTCGGACACAAGCACGAGACCCCGCTCGCTTCCCTCTTGCCACCCTGCCCTGCCCTGCCCACGGCCCTGGGTCTGTGGAGCCGAGCTGCAGCGCCGAGGCCCTGCGCAGCCGCGGGCCCAGTGCGTCCACCCGCGCAGGGCCTCTCCTGGGGTGCACAGCCCTGTGCCCGGGGTCGGGGCCGGCGTCCGAGCCCTGGGACCTCCCCTCCACCTCTTGCTCTCCACGGAGCCGCTGGTGACAGGGCCGCCGTCTCCGGGCACCAGGGTCACGCGAGGCCGCTGTGGTTCCCAGAGACCTGGCTTCCGGGGCTGTGTTGTCGTGACCTTCGTGTCTCAGAACACAAACATGTCTCGATGTGGAGGCTTTGTCTATTGACGGGAAGAATGTAACTTCTCTTCCCATTTCAGATCTTTTGTTAAACATGTATAGGCGACGTTCCCATCCTCTGGTCCCCGCTGCCGTCCCCCGCCCCGGCGCGCCCGAGTACCGGAGACTGGCCTGAATGGGGGCCGCGGCGTGGGACCCAGCGTGGCCGCCGTGGCCTGTCACCTCGCCAGCCGGCCAGCGTGACACACTCAGCACTTCCTGTGGGCAGGGAACCTTCCTGTCCCACCATTGTTGTTCAGCTTCTCCTGGAAGAAAACAAAAATTATTTGCTGGGACCTGGCTGGTGTTTGTTTAGGGCCTTGCTGGGAAATGCCCTGTCCCGGGCGTCCCAGCGCAGCCCCGTCACGGCAAGGCCCCCTTCGGGCGGCTGGGGCGTGGGGGAGGGTTTGCCTGCCAACCTGCTGAGTCCAGGACGGCCGCCAGGACCCCTGGCGCGCAGGCATGGCCGCTGCTGTGTGGCCCGAGGCGGCCCGGTCAGCTCTGGTCCTGCAGGCTCAGGCTCCTCCTCGGGGTCACGGTACAGAGCCGGGAGGGGGTGCGGCCCCAGGCAGGCTGCAGGGCTGGGCGGGGAGCTCTGCCCTGTTGTTTGCGCCCAGCCCCCACTGTCGGCACCTGCTGGTGCCCAGCGTGAGGCCCCTGCTCCGCCATGCTGGGCCTCTGGGCCAGGTGTGATGAGGATGGAGCACCACGGGCCGGCAGGTGGGTCCCGGGGCCGGGCAGCCCAGTGGCGGCCGCAGGGCCTCCACGGAGACGGCCTCGGAGGCGTGCGCAGAGTCAGGGCTCGGCCGGGGGCCCCTGGCCAGGTGTGCCAGCGGTCAGTAGTGCCCGCGCCCGCCCTCGCATGGCCTTCACCTCCAGTCTGCCCCCGCCGTGGCTGGCCTGAGGCGCCAGCTTCGCGTGGAGGAGCCTGGCGCTTGCTCCACCCCTGCCTCCCAGCAGGCGCCCGCGGCCCGGCCTGGACACCCACGCCCGCCCCCGGGCAGCCGGCCTCTGTGTGAGGGCCGCGCCCACATTCCTCTCAGCAGGGCCCGGGGAGAGCAGGTCCTGTCCCGGGGCGCAGCTTGCAGGGCCGCCGGCCCGGGTCCG